GCTGCCATTTCGAGAAAAATCAATATTAAAAAAAAACTCCTACGTACTTCTATAGTCTTTAATATGTAGATAATGAAAATTCTTTGTTTTGTTCAAGGTCAAACCGTGTACCTAGAATCCTGTACACCGATTTGAAAAAAAAATAGAAAAAAGGGATTTCGCAAGTAGGTCAGTGTGCCGTCATTTTGTACATAAAAAATTAAAAAATATTTTTTTAGTTTCTTATATATGTACAACAATGTCCTCTAAACAGCTTTTAAATAAAGTTATCTATTTACCCACAAAAAATTCCAAACTTAGGTATCGTTTTGAGGCCTCAGGGGTGGTGTAACCCCTAAGCACGGTGATTTCTCACCATTTTTGTATGCTCACCATCTATCTCGTCTTCTTTTCGGTTAGAATCGAGAAATGCCGAGTAATGGACAGCAAGATGCGTCCGCTCTGGTTAGTCTTCGAGAACAGTGATCCTTTTGGCGAGGACGTTTACTTAATCCTCAAACACGGCGACGATTTGAGGCAGGACATGTTGACGCTCCAGATGCTACGTATTATGGACAAGCTCTGGAAGAAGGAGGGCCTGGATTTACGTATGAATCCATACGGTTGCATATCTACGGAGAACAGAGTCGGGATGATAGAGGTGGTGCTGAACGCGGAAACAATCGCGAACATTCAGAAGGAAAAGGGCACATTCTCTGCAACGGCGGCCTTCAGGTGAATAATACGTCGCGAAGTGACACAGTTGGAAAGCTTATATTAAATGTTTATTTTTTCTAACATATTCATCTTGTGTTAAATTAACACAAAATAAAAACGTTGAAAAATAATAAACATTTTGTAAAAATTAACACAAAAAATATAGCACTTTGACATAATTTGGAAACAAATTGTGAAAATATTTCTTCAGTAAAATTAACATATGTTAAATTAAGACATATAATCATTTTTTATTCATTTATTCTTACAATTTATGTTTTAAAGCTACATTATTTTTATATTATTTATTCACCTATTTATAAATTGTATTATTTTAACATAGAGATATTAAATATCATTTAAATTTAAAATCTTAAAATCACAAAATATTAAAATATCACGTTAAATCACGTTAAATTAAATAATGTTTGTATATTAAAAATTTAACATAAAATATTGACAATAAGCAGATTTGAGTGGGCCATTTTTAACACAAATATAAAATGTTTTTTTTACTGCGTATCGATATAATTCGATAGATACATATCGGACTTCTTCACAATTTCTTTGTCTGCATTTACAGGAGAGGTTCCTTATTAGCTTGGCTAAAGGATCACAATCACACGGAAGCGGCGTTAAACAAGGCAATCGAGGAATTTACCTTGAGCTGCGCGGGTTACTGCGTGGCGACGTACGTTCTTGGGATAGCCGACAGACATTCTGACAATATAATGGTTAAGAAGACCGGGCAACTGTTTCACGTCGACTTCGGTCACATTCTGGGCCACTTCAAGGAGAAATTCGGATTCAGACGCGAACGAGTACCCTTCGTGCTGACCAACGACTTCGTGCACGTTATAAACAAGGGTCAAACGAAGAAGGGGCACGCCGCCGAGTTTCAGAGATTTCAGAATCACTGCGAGCAGGCCTTTTTAGTTCTGCGCCAGCACGGAGGACTTATACTGTCTCTGTTCGCGATGATGATATCTACCGGGCTGCCTGAACTCTCGTCGGAGAAAGATCTGAATTATCTTAGAGATACCCTGGTACGGTGGTCGTCAGATACATTTTAATACATGCAATAATACAGGGAGTCCCGAGATTCGCGAATCAACATATTATAGCAAGAAAGTCTTTGAAAAATTAAGTGAGAAAGTTATTTGTTAATTTTTATTTTAAGCGGTACTTTTTGAGATGTAAGAGTTTAAATTTAGCCAATTGTAGAGATTAGTATACGCGCGTGAAGTGCGCCACCGCTAACACTATCGACGCGCTCACGGACGTGTTTACGTTTAACCATAATCTACAATTGGCTAAATTTAAATTCTTATATCTCAAAAACTACTGCTTAAAATAAAAATTTACAAATAACTTTTTCACTTAATTTTCCGCAGACTGTCCTGCTATGATATTTTGATTCGCAAATTTCGGGACACCCTGTATATACAATTAAAACGACGTAAATCGAGCGCAATAATGAAATAATGCACTTGAATGTGTATTTACAGGTCCTAGAAATGTCCGAAAGCGAGGCGCAAAAGCATTTTAGAAGCAAATTCGACGAGGCCCTCTGCAACTCGTGGAAAACGTCGTTGAACTGGGCGTCGCATAATATGTCCAAGAACAATAAGACTACATGAATAGCAACAACGTCGCCGACAGCGTGAGTGATCCTACGCATCGAAGACTACTGTCATGACGTCGTCGTGAACGTTACGTCGCGCTACAAGACGTAACGTTAAGACGTCGTGACACATTTGACGAGCACGTCGCGTCTGGGCTGCTGCTTGTCCGAGGCTGGAGCGAAAGAAAATAAATAAATTTAAGGCTGTCGTTTTCGACGACGGCGTTGTCGTCAGGATTGGAAATCGACGACCGTAACCAGTATTTGAGACTGTATATAAAAGTGATATATCGTTGCTGCTAGTATCAGTGGACTCGGTACTATCGAGAGGTGATTTAGTAAAAGTTTTTTTTTTCCCGAGACTCATTGTCAGATACACATTCGTATAGTTTTAGAGCTACTTTGTGCTGCACAAGTCGGTGCCTACGTTCAAACACGATAGTACTTTTCTTAATCACGGACGTACGGTACATATCAAATTGAACGAGAGAATTCTTTTAAATTTCTTCTCGATTAAAACTTAATTTAAGTTTTGAAATTTTGGAGCTCTATATCGATTGATTCTAAATCTTAAATTGTTAAAAAAAAATCATCGATCATTACAAGACTATTTTCATTTTGTTAGACAGTTAAATTTTATTAAGTTGAATATCGTTCTAAAAATCGTTTATTGCGGTACGCCAAAAGCCTGTGATGGTACACACGCGAATGTCACTTGCAACAATAAACCGCTAAATATCTCATTGCCGTCTCGTTAACATAAAGGAATCGATCTTTACATACATGTAATAAAATAAACATTTGCTGTATTTCATTTACAAACGCAATACGAAATGACATGCGCCGCAACATTGTTTAATTTGAAAAAAGCGAAGGAGTTTGGGAGATGATTGTTTAAGTAACGGGTGATACGGTTTATTCCGTACCATCCCAGACGGCATATCTAAAATTGGAACCATAGACGAGTTGGAAAAAATGATAGGGG